ACAATAAGTCCCAGTATTATAACTGTTGTAAGTAGTTGTAGCAGGCTGAGGGGGAGAAGTGGAAAAATAAAAAATGGAACATAATGGAATAGCTAGAGAGAATCAATTAACTAAGTGAACTGTTAACTTTTTCTTTTGACTTCCACTAGGTGTATAAGGTCCATAAAGAAACCAGTTGTTATAACAACCAAATTGCTTGGGTCTTTACCTATAGCACTTCCAGCATAAAAGAACCTCAGGAAATTTTGCAAAGGTGAAGAAAGACTTCTTCATGCACATGGTCAACTTCAGAGTTCAGTGCATCCATGAAATAGGCATATTTGCTTGGGCTGTAATCCAAGTCCCATGTCAGTAGGAGTGTTCAGACTTTTAGGTGATTTTGCTTAGCTCCTTGGAGAGTTGAGCCTCTGTTTCTTCCATGTGGAGTGCAGAAATTGAGGGCTCACTGAGTTTTCCACCTCTTCAGTTTCCTTACAAGATTCTCCCCAAGATGGCAGTTTACAGGCAATCCCCCTCCCCATATTATGCTGTAGCTTTCTAAGAGTTGGAATTAATTTGTGCCAACATTGTCTAAATGTTTCTCATAGGCCAGCTATCAGAGACTGTAGTGTGGAGATGTGTGCGTGTACTTTGCATTACAGCTTAAAGGGAGAAGAATGGTGATGCAGTAGTATCATGTGCTGAGCACTTAGGAATTGACAAGTAGCAGTGGCAAGAGCAGTGAAGTGTTTTAAATCAGGAAATGCTGCCTGGATAATGAAACCATCCATCTGGGCAGGAAGCCTGTGTGACCACATGTAGGTTTAGCTTCTCAGCCATCATGTTTGCCCATGCTTGGAAGAAAAGTGAGTAATTTGATACACAGACCACAGATCTGGAAAGTCTTGTTTCTGAAGTCTTTGTCCTTTGGTAGGAATGTAGCTGTTATTTCTGAAGTATCATTGCCTCTCTCTGCAGAATCTCTCAATCTAAATGCTGTGTATTTTCCTTTTCAAAAGGAAGGTGCTGTTTTGCATGACTCCCTACACTGAAACCAGCAAGCCATTTCTTCTGAAAAAAAAAATATTGTTTAAAATTGGATGTGATAGGAACAAAAGGAGGAAACAGTCAAGGATATAGAGCCTATAATTCTTATTCTCCCGTGACTCCTGGTATGACATGGAAAGAGTCACTGAAGTTCTCTGTGTCTCAATTTCCCATCTGTAAAATGGGGTTAAAGTACCTACCTCACAGGGGTGTTGTGAGGCTTTCTAAAATAATGTTTGTAAAGTGCTTTGAGATCCTTGGATGAAAGGTGCAATAAGAAATCAAATTATTCACTTTTTTTGTAGCGCAATACAAGTGCACTTCTGTCGAAATGGCTAAAGGCTTCCAGCTCTTAATAGCTGTTCTACACTTCTCCACTATAATTTCTTTCTGCCGTTTGTTGTATCTGCTGGGAGTTAAAAAGAACAAATTGTACAGTCTAGAATATCTAAATTGTCATGATATTTTGTGGAAGAGGGCTAGAATAATGTGATATTCTTTTTAAATATGCAGTGCATATTCTTTGTCCATGCAACCCTAAAATTAACATAAAAAGGATATATTATAAATTTGTACATTCTTCACCTAAACTGGCTAGCTTATGTCTTTGTGAGACAAACCCAATCTCTTCCCAAAATAAAAATCTTCAGTTTGCATCACTGGTTCCAAAACTTATGCAAGAGGTAGAGTAAATCTTTGACCTCTCCAGGTTTTGCAGTCATTTAACAGACAGCCATTAAACAGCACACTGTAAAGGTAGTTACTGAGTTAAAGATCAAATCTAAGGAATCACAGAAATGTGAAATGAAAGCAAGATTAAACTTTACAGACCTGAATCAAAGAAAAGGCATATAGTTCACATAGAGCTGCTAGTGTAGTATGCTCCCTAGAAGACCCTTAACTAATAAACAAACTGATTTAGTATTTAAAGTTTCATTTTGATAAACAAATGATAGGTGCCTCACCAGAGCAAGCTTAGAATCCAACTGTTATTGTGGGGATGACATGGCATACATAAATAACTTCCTCATTAAAATTAACTGCTACATGGAGATAAAAGACATGACTAAAATAGTTGTTAAAGAAAGGAGATAAAAAAAAAAAAGGCCAAAAATTAAAATATGAGAAATGAAACTTACTCAAATATTTTGTTTTCCCACCTCTGTCATTTCTTCTCTTCCATTACCTTTTACTTCTTCATTTTATGACTGAATGGATGGGAGACCAGAAAAGGATATAGCCAAACAAACAGAATAAAAAATACTGTAGTTATAGCTTTCACCCAGCTTACCTACTCAAAAGGAAGTTAGATGTGTTCTGTCATACGGTACATGATTCATATTTTGACTTTTCACTTGTGGAGGCAAGGTATAACATCTTCCTCTTCTTGGTGATAATTTACAAACACATCCCCCGCTTTTAAGAAACAATCCCTGGAGCTTTTCATCTTTCAGAAGTTGGCCTATAATAGCCACTGCATACCTGAGCAGTTCTCAGGATAACTTGAGAAATTTCTTTTTTTTCCAACTTTGTATTTCAGTATTGTATTGCAGCTAGATTTGGACTGATTTCACCAGTGTTTGTTGATACCTCATCCTAAACCTGAAGGCACTGGCAGTTTTGGAGCTATAGCTTGTTGCTTCTTTAATTACTTTGATGTTTCTTTGGTGCATCTAATTGCCCATCAGTGTAGTTACAAGAAGCATTCCACAAAAGCCTCAGTTTCTATGGAACAATCTCCTTGGCACCAGGTTTTATCCTTAATGTTTAAATTAATGTGGGATTTGTTCGTACATTTTACTTTAGAAAATTATTAGTGTACTTGCTTTTCAAATAGCACAGGCTATCTGTGCTATCCACTCATCTTTCATTGCCTTCTTCTATTCAGTTATTCAAGATGGACATTTTTCAAATAGGAAGTGTAAGTGGCAAACCTTACTTCTACACTGAAAATCTGATACTCTGATATCCTTAATTTTTGTGGCACTGAAAGATAAATGTGAATTATGATGATCTTGAAAGACATAGCAACTAAAATAAAACCACCTTTTATGATAAACAGATAACCCACTACTTGCTTAGAATATCTTGTGATGTAGAAATACCATACAATCTTCCTTATTAATTATCTTTCCTCTGTATTTAAGTGGATGATATGCAAGATATAATATTTTACTGTTAGAGCATCTTTTTTCTAGACATAGCCTAGTCATCAACCAGTTCTGCTGCTTAACTACAGCCTACTATCATCCCAGGATCCCTAACCACTGTGTAGAAGAAATACTATCTTGTGGCTGAAATATTAATTATTGTGCTGTTTAGCTTTGTTTTACAAATCTTGATTTATTATCTTGACTATTGACATAAAAACTATTTTTATCAATCACTCTTTCCTATTTCTAAAATGTTAGTGCACAAGCCACCTACTACCTGAAATTTCCCACTTTGATTTGTTTAACCTAAAATATGAGCCACACTTCAGAAATTGCTATGTGTTTAGGAGCACTAGTGTTGAAAATACATCTAAGCTGAAAAGATGCTATCAGAAGTTGATGGATTAGCTCTTGAGCAGGTGTTAATTATCCTAGCTCTACTGGTTTCTTTCAGTTTGCACCATCTGAGAAACTGGCCTAGCATGTCACTGTAATGACAGATCTAGGAACTTTTTGTCCAGGGCTGCAAAATACAGCTTGTGTGGTCAATTTTCAAAATATAAGTTGTGCAGTGTTCATTACTCCATAATTATGAATGTATGTTTTAAGACTGGGTCTAATAATGTCATAACTGAGTGAACATGAGCTACCAGAAGAGGCTCTCTGAATGATATTCATCTGACTGAGTGTGGGTATTTTTAAGGTGGGCATCAAGTTTATGTCCCTTTGTTGTCAATGAAGAGAAACAGGCACTTGTAGTGGTTATCAGTTTTATTCTCAAGAAGGTATCTTAACCAGATCAGGTGGGCTGTGTCCATAAAGTGTCTGCTTCTCTTACTGACTGAGGACGGAACCATGGATGTAGATGTAGGTGTAGGTGTCTGCCTTGCTTATGTCTAAAGTTAGGTGAGGTGAATCTCCTCCTCAGTGCCCCTCTTTGGCTCCATCTTATTAAGCCCTCCCTATGTTATTAAACAGTTACTAGAACAAAGCTGAGTAAAATGTGATAACGCAGCACCATTCTGTTACAGTACACAAAACAATAAATAACAGCCCTATCATATATATATGACTATAAAATTTGGGCTAGCATATTTACTTAAAATTATGTTGTGCATATAATTCCTTCTATCCTCCTTTCCTGTAACAACTCTTTTTAAAGTTCTTAACTTCTCCACAGTTGAACTGAGAGCTTTTGATTTTACTGATGGATCCACTAAGTAAAATGCCATTTTAATATTTTTGCATTGCTATTGGTCAACTAGTGTTAATTGTGTGTATGGTGTTAAAAATGTGACTTTTCCTTCTTGGAGTATACTCTTTCTATTTTGGTGAATGGCATTCATCAGTAAGAGAATAAATCCGGTAGTATTCACTCTTTTACCATCTACCACATTTACAGGAAATATAGGAATGAGAAAAGTTGGAAACACAGGCAATTATGTCATCCGAATAATGTGATTGTAATAAATCCCATAAAACTGTGAATATAGAAGTGAAAGGAGAAACATAAGTATTTATGCCATAATATTCAGCAGTAGTAGTAATTAGCATTTTGATTGCCTTTTTCTTATCAGTTCTGTGAAAGAAATTCATGTGAATAGCAAATAAACAAAAATAGCCCTATGGACTATAGAGAATTCAGTTCAAATGGGTCAGCCATAGCATTCTAAAATTGCTGTATGATTAACAATATTTGACATGCAGTTTGTTTTCTGTCCGTGCAATTGCAACAACAGTTCCAATTGTAGCCACTTTTTTCTTTTCTTTTCCTTTTTCTTTCTTTCTTTGTTTCTTTCTTTGTTTCTGTTTTTTATGCAGAAGACCATCAAATGAATTGTCACAATACTCGAATAATGCAAGACACAGAAAAAGACGATAACAATAATGATGAGTATGATAATTACGATGAACTGGTGGCCAAGTCATTGTTAAATCTTGGCAAAATTGCAGAGGATGCAGCATACAGAGCCAGGACAGAATCAGAAATGAACAGCAATACATCTAATAGTCTGGAAGATGATAGTGACAAAAATGAAAATATCGGTCGAAAAAGTGAGCTGAGTTTAGATTTAGACAGTGATGTGGTTAGGGAAACAGTGGACTCCCTTAAATTATTAGCACAAGGACATGGTGTAGTGCTTTCAGAAAATATTAATGACAGAAATTATGCAGACAATACTTCACAGCAAGACAATAGGAATATGAACTTTGTAATGCTAGGGAAGCCTGTGAACAATGGACTTACAGAAAAAATAGTGGAGGAGAGTGATGAAGAGGTGTGTCTCAGCAGTTTGGAGTGCTTAAGGAACCAGTGTTTTGATCTGGCTAGGAAACTCAGTGAGACAAACCCACAGGAAAGAAACCAACAGCAAAACATGAACACTCGTCAGCATGTCAGGCAAGAAGATGACTTCCAAGGAAGAACACCAGACCGGAATTACTCTGATATGATGAACCTAATGAGGCTTGAAGAACAGTTGAGCCCCAGATCTAGGACTTTTTCTAGCTGTGCCAAGGAGGATGGTTGTCATGAAAGAGACGATGATACCACCTCTATTACTTCAGATAGGTCTGAAGAAGTGTTTGATATGACAAAAGGTAACTTAACCCTGCTTGAGAAAGCAATTGCTTTGGAAACAGAGAGAGCAAAAGCCATGAGAGAAAAAATGGCAGTGGAAGCTGGAAGGAGGGATAATATGAGATCATTTGAGGAACAGTCTCCAAGACACCTTTCTGGAGATGACAGGAAGCCTAAACCAAGTGACGGCCATGTCAAAAAGCCATATTATGGTAAAGGTAATATTTCTATATACCGTATGTTATGTCATGAGAAAGTGTGAGCTAACATGTTAAGTTTTTGCATAGATTTCTGAAATGAAGTGTTAACTCCACATAATGGGAACTTTATGAAAATTGTAGTATGACATGATTGTAAAATCGCATCATGCTATGATTATAAAATGAAAGAACTCATTCTGCAGTGTTAGAAATATGCACAGTATATCATTGGCTAAATTAAAAAAGCAACTTCTCAGGGAAACAAAACAAGAGATCATGTTGAAAGAGGCAAAGATTTTTCTCATGGTTTTAATATGTTTTATAGTAATAATTAAAAAAGATAATTGTGTTGCAAACTATATTGAAGGGGGGGTTTATGCAGCAGATAGTCAATCAGCTATGAAGTGCATATATTACAGATTGGATTGGGTAGGTGGCATCGTGACTTATAAAATTATCATCAAATGACAGTTATTGATGAAGCCTCTCCTGTCTAAAATGTAGAATTGCCTGATAGAAATTGAACAGTATCAAAATGACCGATAACATAAGATAAGGGCAGTGACTGCACATTAATTATCTTAAGATAGTAAGGTAATGGAAACCATTTGCTATGCAAGGCATGGTGTGGCCTGGGCTGAGATCAATAGCAATTTCTTTCTTATGTGCATTCCACTTCACTGGTTTCATTCCATTGTGGAAACAGTTAAGGTGCTGCCTTGACCATAATTCAATACAAGAGAAACAAAAAAAAAGCAACAAAAACCAAACCAAACAAAAAAAATCACAACAGACTAAAGGTTACCTTTAGAATGCCTTTTAATTTGCAGGATAATCATGGTGATGGTGTGTTTATATTATGACACTCCTCTTTAACGTGTTTACATCTGTACATGTAGGGCCATGCTGTATTAAGTGCTCAGTACCTCCTGAGATTCATTGAACACCCCTGATTCCCATTGACTTTAGTGGAAGTTGAGGACGTGGCATTTCTTGGGAGATGCTAAACAGGGACTGAGTTTAGCTTATATTTGTTGTAAAAATATTTGGTTTGCTTTCTACAATTGACATGGTGGGCATTTTTCTCTTTTTTTATAAATCCATGTTTTGAAAAAATAATCTGCCTGTGACATTCATGTAGGCAGACAACATCTTGATCCAATAAAGTTTTGGTCATTTTTCACAAGTCTTGAACAAAAGTAATGATCAGTCTTTTAGAAATGCATGCAAATTACTGATGTCAAACACTGCTGCAATGTGTTTTAGTGAATTTTTGTTTGTTCTAACCACAAGTATAGTCCAGTGTATGCTGTAGTAACTTTGGGCATTTGGGGAAGACAGATTTATTTAGTTAGTGTATTACTGCATAGCCATGTGGATGTTGTGCTAAATGTTGTTCACATATGACCTATTATGGATACGTTTCCCTGTAAGTATATGTCTCTAAAAACACAGAAAACATGGCAAACAAAAATTAATTTTTGAAGGGTTTTTGAATTCTGGTATTGTCCAATCTTTTCAGTATATATATAGCTGGGAAAACTTTTTTGTATATAGGCCTGCTCTCTCCAAAAAACCTATATCATTTCTGACAGTGAGAAATGTATGGATATCCTATTTTAGTAAATTCTATAGCTTCTTTGAACCATCCTGTTTCTTGGGAGCTGCAGGCTGAATTGGTAATAGGTCCAAGGCTCACCCGAGACTAAATACTGTGGGAGTTTGGACATGAAACTTTGTGGAGTGTATCATTCTTGACCTTTTTAATATAAAAAGAAAGAAAAATTCCCTTATTTAAAACAAAACAAAACAAAAAACCCACAAAAAAAACACACTAAAAAAAAAACCCAACCAAAAAAAAACCCAAAAAAAAACAAAAAAAAAAAAAAAAAAAAAAACCCAAAACAGAACCAAAAAAAACCAACAACAAAAAAAACCCCCACAAAAAACTAAACCAAGCAAAACCAACAGACCTGTGGGGAATATTCTGGTAGTTGTTGAGAGAAGCTTGAAGTAAGACAGTTGCTTGTATCATTTGTTCTCCAGTCACATGTTATCTTCCGAATACTGCTGGAAGAGATACCTTCAGAGATATATGATAAAGTTAGGTGGAAACTTTCTTGGGAACACAGGTTTGCAGTGAGAACTGTCTCTTGGCTTCAAAGATCACTGAAACAACCATTAAGAGACTGTTAACATTTTCCCCTGCCATTTTAAGCTTTCTAAACATGTCTTCTTCTGAAATTTATGCATTTTGAAACCTTTTAAAGTCCTTTGACACCCTTCACTCAGGAAATACTTCCATTGTGGCAAGGAGTGAGAAAAGGTTGCAGAGTTCAGTAAAACTGCAATATCTCTCCCAAATAGCAGAAGAGGATTTACAGAACAGTATCCAATGTTTCATATAAAGTTGTGAAAAGTTTACTCAAATGTCTTCCATTAAAAGCAATGGGAAATTGTGCAAGTGCAATTTTATGCAAGTTTTGAAATCATTAAGAGTAGTATACAGCATCTTTTCTGACTCATTAGACCATAAAGGCTCTTAAGGATCTGATATGTGCTATAACTTTATGATGTAGACTTGAATACAGAGCAGGATTTGCTTGATGCTGTAGGATGCAAGTGTCTAGATCCTCAGCTGCTCTAAATTACAATACCTTCACTGACTTTGGTGGAGTTCCAACAATGTCGAGTAGCTAAAGTTCCTCTAGTTTAAAGTCTCTAAAAAGCCATTATGGTCTATTAATCATCTACATTTTTTGCAGTCCTTGAATATTGTTGTATTTACATAATTTGTATTTCATTTACATTATCTATTCACTTACCTAATACTTTTACACATCCCAAAGTACTTGACTTGATGAGTTGCTTAGAGTTGTGTATGTATGTAGCTGTGGGCTTGCTGTTCTAGTGGTCTCAGCACAGGCCTATCTGGCAGGAATTCAAATCCCTCCTCTGACATTTGCTCCTTCTGTGGCCTTGGGTTTAACTTCTTGATCTCTTTCTTCAATTTCCTGATGTATGAGATTATGGTCTTCCCAGGAGTGTTGTGATAACTGTATAGCACATTGGAGATAAATTTCTATGTTTATTTGTTGTTAAAGAGCATGGAACAAAGAACTGTGTTCTACAGTCCACATGCAAGTTAAGTAAAATAAAACTACCATAATTAGGGGTTCTATTTGCAAAACACAGAGTTTAAGTATGAGATTATATTTTAAGAATGGGTTGAAGACATGGAGACATGGAGAGGAGCTAAAGATTTTCTGTAAACTGAAGCTGTTTTGGAAGAACTTGAAAAGTAAAAGTATATATAAAACCTACCAGAGAGAAATTGGGGAAAGATAAGTCCAAAACAGAATGTGAACTCTGGATTGTATTGATTCATGATGAAAAGAATGGGTTGTCCGTGAAGTTCCACAAGTATTGAAATTTCCCCCTATTGTGCTGAGGGTTCTGTTGAAGCTATGATGGAATTTAATGTAAAAAAGTCTTACTGGAAAACAAGTAGCAAAATCTTATTTTACGGAGATGAAAGCATCAATACTGAAGCAGAGAAATTACAAGAGCAACACAAAATTATTAAATGAGGATAGTTCAGATTGGGTAGTGAAAGGAATGATGGACTAAAAAAGCTGTTGGTGATCTTAAGCTAAAACTGTAGCAGTTTTTGTATCCTGAATTTTATCCCTTTAATAGTGATATGAAAATCAGCAATAATGTCCAAAACCTGGCAACTGTGGTCAAGATGATAAGATGTAATTTGTATCATGTCCTTGTCTGGAAGAATAGATATTCTACAGATGTTCTGTTAAAGGAAATAAGCACATGAAGTTATGTGAGAAATTTCTAAATCAGGATAAATGTCACCGGTATTCCATTACATCATTGGCAGAAAGCTTTATTTTGTGGGAAAAAATGTCTAGTTAGACTTTTCTTTGATTTGTAGTCAGAAAATCCAACAACATTCTAAAAGGTCATTAACCTTTCAAGCATATGAATATTCAGATGTTACATATGCATGTTGGTAATGGCCAAGATTTACAGTGCAAGCAATACTTTCAGTAATTCTGATTACAATGTTTACTCCACCATAATTTATTGAAAATCAAGGAATATTTATGTAATTTTACCACTTTGTAAGGAATTTAAAGAAAACAAGAATCATTTCCTCATTGTGTCTTGGAAAAGGGATTTTTTGTGGAATCATGCTGAAGAGCTGCATTTGCTACTCTCAGGACATTGAACTGCTATGACAGTACATTTGCAGACCTTAACACATGAGGCAAATAAGAATGTAAAGAAGGGAAACTCCATCTAAACAGTTTCCAAATGACCTTTCACCCTTGAGCTAATGCTTGCCAGCAGAACATTGATTGACAGTGGTACGGCTTTGCTATAAAAAGGTCATTTTCCAATCATTGTGAATGGATAATGCCATGATCATGGGAGCCTGCAGTCTGAGAAGAAGATAACAGGATAAAAATGACAGAACTGTGATAAGAAGTAGGGTTTTGGGGTTTTTTTTCCAGTTTTCTTAATAACATTTACCAAAGAGTAAATGACATGATTAAATGAACCTTCTTACAGAAATGTGAAAAGACTCATTCACTTGACACATTTGTTGTAAATTATAGATCCCTCAAGAACAGAAAAGAAAGAGAGCAAATGTCCTACCCCTGGGTGTGATGGAACTGGCCATGTAACGGGGCTTTACCCCCATCACCGCAGTTTGTCAGGATGCCCACACAAAGATAGGGTCCCTCCAGAAAGTAAGTTCACATTCTTTCATGGAAACTGGGGATAAAACTACAAAAAAATTTCTAGCATGCTTTTTAAACCTTTTATTTAAAAAATTAATTTCATTTTTCAGTATGGTTTGTCTCAAGTTAGTCAACTGTTCTGTGTTATACTTTTTCCTTTATTCCATTGTTTCCATTCTTTACTAACTTTACACTAAAAGAACAACTTTTAAAGCTGTATTCTTTGATTTTGAGAATCCTAGGTTATTTTTTAATAGACATATTTAGTCAACAGAGAAAAAGGTTTCCAGAAGATGTGCACTGCTTTTGCTTCTGCGTGCTAATGTCATATCAAATGTCCTTATTGTCTTGTACAGGAATAATTATTCCTGAAAAACTTGCAACCCCTCTCCTGTGTTATTGTTGTGTCTGAAACATAATTTATATTAAACTAGTACATATTATAAAAAATAATAATTTGGCTGTTTACTTAGCTACAGAACTCAGGATTTTGAGCAAATGACACCTCTCAGTCACATGGGTGGAACTTCCTGCCATGTCAGTAAATTCTCTGCATAGGAAGTTCACTCATATGAGCTCGTGTACACCCACCTAAAGGCAGAGGGCTTCATTTCTGGAAGTCACCTCCTTGGCTGGTGAAATCAGCATAGTCCTGTTGAAGCTAATTACTCTGTGCTGGTTTTCATCAGGAAGTGTCTAGCTAAGATCCTATTTTCTTTCACACCAGTTTTAAAACGGAGCTATGGATTCAATTCCGTATGAACTTAAAATCCTCACTGTCCATTAGCACTTCTGGACTTAACCTCAATGAATTTGCAACAGCCTTAAGGGAATGTTATAAAAACGGTCAGAACTAAAATGGTCCCCAGTTTCCAAAGGAAAGTAGATTCAGATGGACAGGAAACCAGAAGAAGATTAGCACTGCAAAAGTGGCAGACATAACAAGTCTCCTCTTTCCTGGTACAGTGGCTTCTTCCAGAAGTAAAGTAATGAGGAAGTGCTTTAGGAAACTTTGCTGTAGTTTGGTTGGTCTCTGAATACAGTAGAAAAAATAAAGTAATTTCTCTGCTTTCCAAGACCCTGTAATTTTCTGAAATACAAATATTTATTCAGTTGCTCAAAGTTCTATCATTTTTTCAAATGGTAAATAAAAAGCTCTTTAGAAGACTTTGCAAATCAAAGAAGAATATAGCTTTAAACTGTTTGCATGCTCTTGTACCTACTAAAATGACAAAGGTGAGCTCATCTTTTTTTTTCCTGTGATGTTGGCCTTGTGAAGCATGTTTCAAGAACAGCTTTAAATATTAGGAATTTCAGAGTGAAGCTTTTGCATCTATACACATTTTATCACACTGATGATGGGGTGATGATGATGATGATGGTTATCTTTTAATGAGCATACATGGTTTAATTCTCAAGTCTCTGAACAGCTTTTATTCAGTTCTTAACTCAGTCAACGTATCTCCTGATTTTATTAGATTTTTTTTTTTTTTTGAGTGAGAACTAAATACAGGCTTCCAGACCACTTCTTGTGTGAGAAAATGAGAAACTTCACAAGGGCTGGATAACTTTTTTCCACTGAGTGATGTACTGCTATCCAGCTCTGAGACATGGATTCAGATATGCTTCATGTCATAAAAAACTCTTCAGTGCTCCCAAAAAGTTCTTGATAATTTGGCCCTTCATAGCATGAGCTTTATGATTTAGAGAGGTACTGCTCTGAGCAGCCTTGGAGTAAGTTTTCCATCCAGCTTGCAGTGGATGCAAATGTGGATGTAAATCAGTTTACTTGCTAAAGCTTGTACCACTTATTTCTTTTTTACTTTTTTTTTCTGCCATCTCTCAATTTTTAAGTACTTAATTTTGGTTCTTAGTATTTTGAAAAAAAAAATATCACATTTGTAGAGAACAAGAGTAAAAAAATAAAGGATCCATTCTGCTCACTATGTAGATCTGAACGATATATCTATGTGGAAGCGAGCAGAACTGGCCCCTAGCTCAATCGGCCTGCCTTATAGTTAGGGTTAAATTCTGTTCAGGGTTGTACTGAGCTGTGTTTCAAATAATTCAATGTTCTACCAGTATAGCTTGAGAGCAGATTCTCAGCTCATGAGTTTGATACTTTGTTTATAAAGCTATCTATTAAGAATACATACATTTCCTGAAGGAGTTTTTCCAGTCTGTAATTTTGTTTTGTATGGTTGCTAGCTCACCCTTTACTGTTGAGCTGATCTTTGCTCAGTGGTTTTGTATGAAGAAGATGTTGGGCGTCTTCTGCTTCACTGTTGCACCAGAGATGCATTTGTTTATAGGTTCTGTAACCTCCATAACTTTCACTGTTGCCCTGTGTTAATGAGCATAGGGTCACAATACTTAGTTTCCTCATCAGGCTTTATTGGCTATGTGTGTCACGTGTATTTGGAGGAATGCTGGTTGTTAATGAATCCTGCTTTGTTTTAAAATGATTTCATATATACTGGGATTTGATTTTTTTTTCTTGTTTTCATACTCTGCTGTTTTCTCTTACTCTCCTTGTCAAGTTCTTGCCATGCATGAAAATGTTCTTAAGTGTCCTACACCAGGCTGCACAGGCCGGGGCCACGTAAATAGCAACAGGAATTCCCACCGAAGGTAAGGATGCCGTCGCTGGACACCAATCTAGAGGGAACAGTGCCTCCGAACTGCAGCCCCTCTAGCAGTCCATTGGTGGGGGGGAGTGAGTGTGTGTCGTTGTTCTGTTCTGAGGATTGACAGATGGTGCTTCGTGTGCTTTCTCCATTTTAAAGAGTAACATTTATTCATGTATTTTCTGAGGAGAACGAGTGTGCGTTTGCTGTAGTATGGTTGGATTGATCCACAGAAGACATTTTAAGCATCCTTAGCTTTTTGAGTGGACTTTTTTTTTTTCTTTTTGTTTTGATATTTGCTGAACAGCAGTTGTACAAAACAAATGGTATGACTCCTCAAGGGTGTATTGCAGGGAGAAAGATTTTTTCAACATCAGGACTAGGAAAGAGTTCATGTTCTCACACTTCACTTTCTTCAGAGATTTTTTTCTAGTGAATGAAAAAACCTACTCAAATCCTAAATTATTGGGTTTTTTTAATACACGAGAAACAGTATTTTAAATACACAGCTGTTAGCTTTCTTACCTGACCATAGTCATAATCCCTAAGTACTTATTCATCTAAAACTGAATGAGAATCTTGGCTGTTTAAGAAACATTAAGAACATGTTTCATTACCCTTAAAAATGAAAAGGCAGAAATAATAGAAGTAAGTAGTCTATTAAAAAAAAAAAAAAAGATCAAGGAAAAAAGCAACTTTTCCATAGTTTCCTAAGATTAGTACTAGATTCTTAGAGAAGGGATACTATTGCAAGTTAAATTCTGTCAAACAAATTTTGAAAATGTTACTTTGGTGTTCTATATGTTATAGTTTTCCCACAGAACAATAACAAAATCTTGCCTCTTCCTTTACAATTTTAAAAATCCAGAAAATTTAAGAGGATAAGAGGGTAAAAGGAACTGTGCAATGTTCCTGTTATTAAATTCCTTTTTACTGTTAATTGTAGCATTAAGGCTTAAGGGAGTACAAGTGCGGGGCATTCAGTCTCACCTAGCCCCTCATATCAGCTGCATTTCCCCCAGAAGACTCTTGTGGGTACCAGCCTGCCTGCAGTAGGCTCTGGTACCCCTTCTCTGCAGCGACACTGCCAGTAGATGCAGCAGAAACCCCTGAGAAGGCTTTATGGGAATTACTGCTGCTTGAAGCAGCATTCACTTCTGGCTGAATTTCCACTAGAATATTTGAGGTGTCTGAGGAAGAGCATGTCAGTGGAGCGCAGCTGCCCCCTGGCATGGCTCCAGAGCTGCACAGAGCTCCCTCACCCTCTGCAGAACTAGGGCAGCGAGGGCGGGCAGGGGGAGCACTCTGCAGTATGTGCTTACCTCTTTCTGCAGCTTTTGGGGCATTTTTCTCTACTACACTTTTTTCTTTTTTTTTTTTCCACTTATTTCCTGTAAAGAAGGGAGCATCTGGGAATGCACTGATTTGCCTTTCATTTTAATTTCTATTCCTGTGGAGAGCACAGGGAGCTGTGATCACATAAGCTTGCAATAGACTAAGACAAGGAAAGGAACCCCTCCATTGTCAGGTCACAGGGTTTTACAGCTTCCCTAAGAGCACCATCTGCTGGTATCAGTATATTTATTTTTCTCAGTTCTAAATCTTCCATAAGAATCAGGCTTATTATTGCCACTTCAATAATAGTTCAGCTTTAGCAAATTTAATTGAATTTCCAGTGCAGAAATGCTTTGCATTTTACATCATCTACTACTAGAAAGCATACTTTGATGGCTGAAATTCATGAACAAACACTAACAGTTGACATGTAGATTTAGCAACCCAAGGCAAAATTTTGCACTCATTTATATGCCTAACAAAAAGATTGGAGTTAATGGAGCTGAATGAGGTGTGAAGCAGCACAAGATTTGGCCTATATGCTGTTGTCATTTAATTGTCTTCAGGAGCCATTTCATTGGCAACATTTGTAGATGTATAAAGGTCACAAGTCTGCTAGCAGAGCTGCACAGTAGATTCCAGTTTATATTCTCCTCTCCTACTGGTATGTTCCCTGGCTGACATCCATGAATAATCTACCCATATACTGTGAGAGAAGAAGAGCAGATGTAAGATTTACCATGCAACTTTGAAAGCAGAAGAAAAGAAGTCTATTCTAAAGAAAATAGACATGATCAAAACAGTTTTGGAAACCCTTTTCCTTCAGATTCTTCCTGATGCTGCTAAGGAGGAGAAGGAGTAATTGGATCAGTGCTATAATGTGAAACTATGCAGGACAAGACAATTAAATTTCCTTTCTGTAATTGCAGCCTCTCTGGATGTCCTATTGCTGCAGCAGAGAAACTGGCTAAAGCTCAAGAGAAGCATCAGAACTGTGATGTGTCAAAATCAAACCAGGCATCAGATCGGGTTTTAAGGTATTAGAAATCACTATAATACTTATTCTTATGCAGAATTCATCACACATTCACCTAATCTGAGAATTTATATTTATATACATTGTATATACATATATATCTCCTTTAAAGAAGAGTTAGAATTAGGGCTTCTGGATCCAATTCTCACAGTGTATTTTTCCCACTCAGTTTTCATGGGGGAGGGTTGGTAATTATTTTGGCAAATACATGTAAAGCTGAAAAGCTCATTTTTGTCTTAGGCATTGTTTGGTGTAAAGATGACTGCTGGAGTGCAAAGTCTAAGAACAGTGTGAAAAAAGTTGGTATCTTTTGGGAATAAACTAATATTTACCGGTAAGTCTTGGTTTTTTCAGCAGGCTTTTACTAGTAAATATCAGTTTAAATTAAACCAGAAGCCCTATCTGCATTACCAAACTGGTAAACTTTTGGCAGGACACTTGGAAAAGTACCAGATATAGCTTAGGTTCCAAAATAACATCAGGCTTAGTTCTTTGTCTCTGTTCCCCCCATTCTCTGCCAGGAAGGACAGAGAGAAGAAAAAGACAAGAATTATCTAAATTTTCATATGGAAGGGACCTTTAACCAATTTTATGTTATTATACTCCTTTTCTTCATCCATGTAGGATTCTGCATTTATCTGAAGTTGCATCCAGCTTTGTGCTATTGTCTCCTCTTTTGAGATATGTGGGTGGAAAAAAATCTTACTTCTAAGGAGCTGAAGTGTGAAGGATGCATGTAAAGCAATCAAACTTCTGCATGATTGTACCAGCCTTATGCTGATGATGCCCCAAAAGCTGCAGAATTTCTCCATGGATACTGCAATATCTGTGGGCTGGGATAGGTACATCCCTCCCAGCTGCCTCAAAGAGCATGGAGGAAGTGCTGCAGCTTTAGTTCCTAGAATTTCCTACTTATCCCATAGTTCTCAGTCTTTAGCTGTCTTTTAGATTTAAGAACCGATTGGGCTACTTAAAGTTTTCTACTGTATTATCAATGCCGTTCTTCAAATATTCTCTTAAAAGTTCATCTAATCTTGATGGTCTTTTCAAAAACCAGCATTTCCGTGGAGCTGGGAACACAGAATTATGGTTCACATCTACAGAAGATTTTTCATCATTGCTGTTGACTATGCTCTCCTTCTGCAGATTTGTTTTGATGGGCTTTATCTTAACTGCCCCTAATTCAGTTTGCACAGCTTGGCATGCAACATCCCACAGAGGTTTCTTAGAGAAGAGTTCTTCAAATCCCATTAGTAAAAAAAACTCCGCTCTTTGAGGGAATAAAACAGTTTCTCACTTGATGGAAAAAGACAGATGAAAATTGCAGTGGCTTTTACCACTGCTTATTACAGAGAAGCCACTGAAGTCAGTTGCCATAGAAGGCAACTGCTCAAAAGCAACATCCAGTTTGCTGGCAAACTCCCTAGGATTGTTCTGCAATCTTAACTTCACTTGTGAGCTGCCTCATGTTTCAGTTTCTATAGGCAACTCAGATAATTCTTTCATCTTGTCTCTTGCTTCCCTTTTACCTTTAAGTCATTGAAGTATTTAAGATGAACTTGGCAGCTATTTATAATATTTGTGTGCAGGCAATTGATGGGCATACGGAGATGTTTTAAGAGTAAATCCTGAATATTTGTCTTCATCCCAGTTTCCATCCCACCTGCATTTGAAAGTTCTTACTTAAAAAGAAATCAAATTCATAGGACTTTTATTCCACTGAAATTTTGGATTTGCACTAAATGTTCAGGATCAGAATTGCAGGTCTTTGGTTAAATATAGATTATCTTGAGACAGGATCAAACTATTATTCATATGAGCTCACTGTATAAATAAGCCCACTGTATTTTGTGAGGAAGAAGTGTCTAAAGGAATAAGCATATGTAAATCAAAGGGAATAGTATTAATAATATGATTTTTGGTAATATTTACATAAATATCCTCAATAAATGTTATTATAATAAATTCATTTGGAAAAACATTATATAATATTTAAAAACTAATTCTTATTATTGAGCACATTTCACTTTGTTAGTCAACATGATGATACTTCTGATCTCAACTGAGTTTATGTTCCTATGATTGTTCATTCCATTTCCTCTGGTTATAAATGCAGAAAAAAAAAAAAAGAAGAAAAAAGAAGAAAAATTTAAAAAATATATATGCTTCTTAATTCCAGCAGAAGCACTCAGGTGTGCTGTTCATCATCCTCACCTCCTGCTACATGCAGCAGGTAGACTTGCAGTGTTGTGTAGCAGTTGCTTCCTACGACCCAGTCATGTAACACTTTCTTCTATAGCAGGGTTTGCAGGATCTGGCCTTCGTTTGCCCGCTTTGAGCTGATGACTCCTGTGTCCACATGCAGAAGATGGTGTGACAGTGGAGTTCACTGCAGCATTCTTTCGCTGAGATTTCACAAGTTTCTCAAATGACTGAAAAATCCATCCATCAGGGCTTCTTCTGACTGTCCTCCCTCCATCCTAAATGAAAGACATATTTAATTGAAACAGTTTTATTTTGTATTCATTCTCAGGACCTTCCTTGACGTGTGCATCTGTGTGTCAGGAATTGCAGCTCCTGCCAGAATCTTGCATTTAAGGATGAGCAGGACCTGCAAGGCAGCAGCTCAGAGTTGACAGAGCTTCTGAGACTCTTCTCAAGATGAACATGGATTTGTATATTGAAAGATGAAACAGGAATAGTTACTTTTGAAAGCACAGAGAAAAACAGCATACAACTCTGTTGCAAGAAATATGGAGGAAATGCCATAAATTAGGTGGAGCTTCCCAATCTACTTTTTCTTCTTGATACTTAAAGAATTCATCCAAACTTCTTCTGTCAGTCTGCTTACCCCTCTTAGATTCACCTCCCAAAAGAAAAAAATATTTGCTTTGTGGTGCAATTACAAGGGGAAAGGGAAACCCTGAAGTATTTTAAAACAGAACTTTAAAATACTTTTAGCTGCAGGATACATTTAGTGGCATTAGAATTAATTTTGTCTAGGCTTTGTTCAAGGAAATAAATATTGTTTGTCTGCTGAAAATAACCAAACTAAGGAAATGCAATAATATATTGCTGTCTCTTGAGTTCAAGAAATAACTAAGATTTTCTAATCTGAACTATAAATTATGCACAAACATAGTGAACTGAACTGCATCTAACAAACTGTACATATCTTTAATTTCTAGGCCCATGTGCTTTGTTAAGCAATTGGAGATCCCTCAGTATGGCTACAGAAACAATGTCCCCACCACCACACCCCGCTCCAACTTGGCCAAGGAACTAGAGAAATACTCTAAGACTTCGTTTGAATATAACAGTTATGACAACCATGCCTATGGCAAGAGAGCCATAGCTCCCAAGGTGCAATCCAGGGATATATCCCCCAAAGGATATGATGGTAGGAGGTGCACACTCTTATACATGAGAGACAAGTTTGCAGTTAATCATGTTGTTGTATATGTAAACATCATACAAATAAGACATGTTTTCATGTTCATGCAGTATTATGAGGAATGCTATCATATGTAAGTTATTTTAAAGGCCTTTTAAAATAAATGTTTTTTATACGGTGCTTGCTTCAGGATTGTTGCACTGGCAAAAGACATCTCCAGCTTTTAAGCTCCTGGGATGTATTGAGATGGCAATAAAAGCTAAGTAACAGAGATAATCCTTATGTTACTGTCTGGGAGACCTGGCCTCAAGGGTCACATTAGGATTCTCGCCTCCATGCAGCAGTTCAGGTAACCCAGAAAGATAACATACTGGTTTTGTGGGGATGTGGAAGTAGAAAACCTGGGCCTCATTGCACTTCAGAAATCACTGCTACATACTTAAAGTGGCATTTTTGCTTATTTTGTCCTCACAAATACACTGGTTGAATTCTCTGGAAAACCTAACATTTTTTAAACGTTCAGGAGAAGCCTAATATTAGCTTCAGTTCAGGAGAAGACAATGGATGGAATCAGTCAGGCAAGAGGTTTCTTATTAGGGGAGAAAAATAAACTACAGGATAAAGAAGGATTGTAGCTTTTGAAGACATTGGGAATTTTTCAGAACAATACATTTATATATGCATATATATTCTATGTGTATATGTGTATATATATATATATAAAACTAAACCATACCCTTTTTTTTACTTCTTTTTGAGTGCTAGCAGCTTTTTTTTTTTTTGGTTAAAATACTTCATATACTTGATATACTACTCAGTGACTATAAGAAATTTCAGGCAGGTGTCAGTCTTTTTGTTTAAGAAAACAGAAAGAAACATACTATACAGAACAATTTATGCTATTGCCTGAACACAGACTGACATTTAAAAGTAGTGAAGTGAGCAAATAGAAAATTACAACGGCTCTTGCCTTCATATGTCTGATACTTTGGATATTTTCCTTTCTCATAGAATTAACAGACATATTCTTGCACTGTAGCAGAAAGGAAGAGGGTTGTGAAAGGAAACCTATTTTTAGTAAAAGACCTTTTTTTTCTCATACCTTCATCTTATTTATCTTTATCAGAATAAGGGCTTGAACAGCATTAAAAGTAAAGCACTAACTGTATCTGTGTTTAGGAAGATAATGAGTTTACATTAGTATAAGGTTAATTCATATTAAATATTGCATATATATTCTGTCTACTCTTGCAGAAAGGAAAGCATCACAATACTGCTGGGGTTCCTGTGAAAAAGCTTATTTTCAGATCAAATTACTGATGCATAAGCAACTGATACATATTTTTCTCATTTAGGGCCCCTTTTTCAATAAATAATGACAAACTTCACTTTTTCTCCCAAACCACCAGAATTTGAAAATACATGTAACATTAAGCGCAAGTTTACAGTGGCCTTAAATAATAAAAGGCTGTGTTGATGCAGGTCACTGTCTTTATGCACTCTCATCTTCCTTTGATACAAATAGGAATTTTTCTGGGCTATAGGACTGGGACTAGGTGGCTTCACTGCTCAGGAGTGTGAGCCAGAGGGGACTGAGGGACGCTGTGTACCTGTGATTCACGCTGGCAGAGCAAGCACAGGGGGCTCGTGCGTGCTGGGAGCAGCGGAAACCCGTTAACGCTGGAGCGGGCTGGCTGCCAACCAAGGCTGCTCCATGGCTTTGTTCCACACTCCTGGCTGTGCTGGACACAGTGCACACTACACCTGGTTCCAAGGGATGTGTGTGCTCTTTGGCCAGATGGACCTGCCAGCATGGTCTCAGAGGTGGGGCCTGATTTGAGTTCGTCTTTTCCCTGTTAGTGATTTTCATGAAACCTCTAGGATTCACATCTCTGAAATTTCAGAAGTACTCCAACAAATTTGGCTTAAATTGGCTCAGGAAAATCGGTTGAATTCTTAGAATGATGAAGTGAAATCCTGGGCACACTGAAATTATTAAAACATTTTGGCACTGCCTTTCAATGGAACAAGGATTTTGCTGACAGTTATTGTAAATAACTGAATATGAAAGAGATTTCAGGAAGAAACTCTTCACTTAAAAGAGCCACTTCAAAAAATGCCACAGTATTTTTAGATGGTTTTATATTTGTATATAAAAGAATTAATGATTACTACTAAAGACTTTATGGGGGTCCAGAGAGCACACCTATTATGTATGTCAGTAAAGCATGTTTATATAAAAGCAGATTCTGTTCTGAAAAGTCATCCTGAAAACCCAAAAGTACATCTAAGGTTTTGGGGGCAATGTGCAGTTAAACAGTGCTTTAGTTCTGACTATATAAGAGAAGTAGTCTTAAAGATAAGAAAAACCAATAGTTTCCCTTCTCAATTCTTTTTTAATTGTCAGCTACTATGGTATTTTCATCAGCAGTAAAAGGGATTATATCTTCAGTAAGTGTAGAGTTGGGAGTGACACAAACATAAATAGCACCTTTGAATTGTTTCCTTGATATTTTTTTACAGTATGGTTTACTAAAAAACAAACAGAATATGTATACTTTGGATCGTTGGATAGGGTGATCTAGTAATTCTTGAGAAATTTTTTATTTTTGGGCTTGTTTTTCCTTTGAAACCAGTTGCATAGTGTATTGGATGCTGGGCTTATGGTACACAGCAGTAAAGATAACAAAAGCTGGACACAGCAGGCAGTGGTGATGGCAACACTTTCGGTTGCTTAGGTGATTGCAGAAATTATTGTCATCCCACCAATAGGTCTGGATCATTCTATCAAAACACTGAAAAAGTTTTATGAGTGGGATTCATCTGACCATATTCAGAGTTTTGTAATGTTAGCACTGGCAGCTGAGTTTGGCACCCCTTTCAGATTCAAGAAGGGTAGTTGCTTCTCTGATTTAGTTCATCTTTTCCCGAAGTGCTTGTTTAAAACTGGTCAGGTGAATTATGGCCTGAAAGTTCCTATTTTCTTCCACTGCCTGTATAGGAAGCCTGTAATGACTAGCTCAGGTACCTGAAATTAGGTGAGATGAATCTTTTATTGTACAAGTCAGAAAAAGTGTTGAAACCATAATTAATTTACTAAACCATTCAGTATTTAGACCATATTGGGAATGAAGGTGCCTGGGCAGAACTGAATTCCAGACCAAATACCTTCCTTTTGTCTTTTTCATGTTTGGGATCTCTCCCACTCCCCCTTTGTTAATTAGTAAGAGAAGCCTTTAGACTTTGAGAGGTTCTTTGTAATCAGCCCCCGGGCATAATCTGGTGGAAGCCCAGTTTGGGTATGCAGCTGGTTAGACCTGTGTCTGTTTTTAATGGGGAAGATGTTCTTCACATTTGGTTTCACTCTGGATTACAAAGCATAGATGGACTGCACAGCTTCATAAACCTGGTGCCACAGGGGTGGGCATTGTATCAAGCAGAACTATCTGGTATTGAAACAATACATCTTTCCCTTCATTAGTGAGCATATTGATTTTATTAATTATAAATCGATGATCTTTGTTTCTCTGAAAAGCTAATGTGTAATGAACAGTCTGGGTTACGTGACTCATCTTCAAATGTACAGCTGCAGTAAGGTTAAGATAACCATGGCCATTTCTCTCCAAGTGAGTTTTGCTTAAATTATTGGTAATCTGAAAGCTAGTAATTGTGTAGCATGCTTATAGCAGTTTACATCTTCAAAGTGTTTTGCAAGTGAATCACAACACAACTAAATTTTAGAAGCAACTTTCTGTTTGTAGAGAAAATGAATACAAGAGATAATGTAGTTTGACCAAGGCCACAGAGGAGTCCGTATCAGAGCCTGCATGAGTTTCTGATGGTTAGTCCTATGTATAAAAGCTGCCTCTTTCCCTCCCTCTCTTTAGCACACATCCTCATATATATATATATATAAAATTTCACATGTAATATGTCTCTTATGTCTGTCTAAATGTGACCTACTATAACAAGACTAACATTTTTTGAAAATGACAAAAGTATTATTTGTTCCTATGATTTTTGAAAAATAGTTCTAATTTGGCAAGTTCAGTACTACAGAGTGCTTGCTGTGCTAACATAACACAGTAAAAACTGAATTATTCAATTACTTGCTTCCTTAAGTATCAGAAAATTCTTGCATGTCTTGGATACTGTAACAAAGTAACAATGGATAAATGCTGAATTTTTAATGACCGCCACTGACTACTATATTAATAATGAAACTCTTGAGGAACAGTTCACAAATTTATTATTAGTGGATAGCCTGCTAGTGTAGTGCTACTATGTGTTCAAAACAAAAAAAAAAAGTGATGAATGTTTAGCATTCACTTCACTTAAAAAAAAATCACACCCTGTGCATTATGTGGCTTTCCTGAGAAAACTCCATCTGTTATGATTTAAGTAAAACACTATTTCCTTTGCAGTAAAAATAATGCCATGATTTTTTTTTCAGTTCTTTAGAGAAAGGAAGATGACATAAGCTCTAGCAGAGACATTTTGCTTTCAGATTCTTCTTTTGAACCCTGTCTGCCTACCAAAGCAGCCCATGGTTCACAAATGGGCTGTGCTCATGGGAGCAGATTATTATATGTATGTCTGTTCAGACAAATACAAGTGAAGAGCCCGGCATTTAAATGGAGCCCATCACGGAAGAGCTCTGTCTAGGGCCTGACCTTTTTTGTATAGCTCTCTAATCAGCATGCTAGTTGGTTATTGTTACACTGTGCTATAAGGTATGATCTCTGCAGTATACATTTCCATCTTAAGGGGAAGTAGTTGCTGTAATATGCATGGATGTATCCTCTGACCTTGACTTTTATTTTTTTCTGAAAATACATAAACTTCTACATTTTGGAGACGAGCTCACACTTTCTTGCATTTTTATAAACACTCTTAAAACAGCTCATCTTGGAAGAGGGTTGGGGAAATAAGTGGGCTAATAGGGCTGCTTGCCCTTACTGCTGTAATAGCTTTGGCTGCAAGGAGCATTACTTAGAAGCAGCAGCAGTGCTGCCTTGTGTTTAGACAGGCTGGACGTGAGCACTGTCAGTGCTTTGGCTCTTGTGTGACCACCTGTGGCTCGTGTCAGTCAGAGCACAGCTGGGCATCACTGCCTGCAGTGGGAGCAGGGAGGGGTCTTTGGCCCTCACCAGTTTTATGAAGAGTTGTAGGTGCTCAGGTTGTTTGAAGCGGGAGGGGAGGATTTTTCACTTGTACCTGTTGTTGCCGTTTAAACAGCCATTGCTTCTGCCTTTGTGCAAGTCGTGGTAAAACTAACACGTGACAACCACCTTTTTTCTCCTGTTGTGCTCCTGTCTTTGGGATGGCCAGTGCCATATTTGCCTGTGGTGTAGGAGGAAATGAAGCTTTTAGGAAGCATGAGGTGTTTAAGGAAATATGGGTGGTGCTGTGGCCCAGAGACCAAGCTGATCAGCCTTGAAGTGGGTTTGATCTCCAGTAACTCTGGGGAGTTCTAGGCCTTAAACTAACAGTTCCTCAGGTATATAGGAAAAGGTCCCATAGTGTTACATTGCCTGTCATTAATAAAAATGAATGAGCTGAGCAGATTGTACCTTTTGTCTGACTATATATGTGGGGTAAAAGCAGTGTTTCTGTGTTTTTATTGTTTTATAAATCCAGCCTGTTTGTCAGAACAATTCATGATCATGTCATGCAGATTTTTGCAGGAGGTTATTTCATACAGTCTCACACATGTAGCATATAAAACTCACAGACAGAAATCAAGAAATAGAGCCATCATTCTTATTGCGGGCTTTTTTTTTTTGGCATTGGTTACTGTTCCTCATTATAAATTTCACCTCCAGCAGTTTGTTTTCCTCTTCACTTATGCAGAATGCTCCTTCTTTTGAGTCATCCTTGTCATATTTCTTCCCACAGCTAAACGCTACTGTAAGAATTCAAGTCCAACCAGCAGCACAACAAGCAGTTATGCCCCTAGCAGCAGCAGCAATATGAGTTGTGGTGGAGGCAGCAGTGCCAGCAGTACCTGCAGCAAGAGCAGCTTTGACTATACTCATGACATGGAGGCAGCACACATGGCTGCTACTGCTATTCTGAATCTCTCCACCCGCTGCAGGGAGATGCCTCAGAACCTCTCCACTAAGCCTCAGGATCTCTGTGCAAGGGTAAAAATTAGTAAATCTGTTTGTTGATGAGATTTCTCTTAACTGTACTTGCTCTGTGGCCCTGATTGAGAGAAAAGCTTTAGTACATCTTGCCTTTTTTTCCCCCCTCAAAATTAACATAATCTGGTGGCTCTGCTAAAGCAGGGAGGAAAAATACCAAAAAAAAGATACAAATTGCTCACAAGTATCACAGGAAATCATGATGGTTTTATAAACTAATGATACAGATACCATGTACTCCTTTTTTAAATTTGTCTCTTACTATGATTACCAAAGATGTTTGGATTGCTCAAGTGGTACTAATTTTACTACTGTTTGGTTTTTTTTGCAAACTGCAGTCTGGTTCATGCATGTGGCAAAAGGATTAAGATTTTAACTCTGCATTTTCATTTAAAAGTCACAAATGGGACCTAAGCTTGTAAGATTCAGTGCAGAGAAATCTGTGGTGCTGTATGTTATAATTTCTTGCCTGTCTGTGATACCAGAGTTCTTAAGTCAATGCATAATATCTTTGAAATGAACAAATCCTCCAATACAGGTGACTTAAAATGTGCATAATAGTCTTGCAGAGTGACTGCTGTTCTGTATGTTCATACAGCCTCAGTATATTATAAAATGGCCATACAGATACAAATAAACGCTTTTGTCATTAAGCTTTCTGTATTAAGAAAAAACAGTGCACTATTAACATTCGTTAAAGATTTAGGAGATTTCATTTTTCACTTTAAAGTTTTGGCCCTGATAGCTGATCAAAAATGAGTATTTAACATGCACAAGCAAACAGTACAGTGTTGCCTACAGGAGACCACTAGATGGCTGAGCAGACAGATGCAGTGCAGAGGAAACATTTTTATTCTGCTTGTAGAGAGATTTTGAGCTGGCAGACATGTTCTGTTCTTCTCCTATAGACAAAGATTTGCTTTCCCTTGCTGTGCAAACCGCCTCATGTTATTATCATTCATAACACACTAAACCTGTAGCAGTAAGTATTAGTAATATTCATGCTCTAAGCCAGATTGGACTTTGTTTTCAAACGCTGCTTTTTATATTAATTGATTTAATACTGTTCAAGAGTGAAATCTCCTTCTCTCATGCAAATAAATGCAGTTCTTCTCATTGTGATGGGAGAAGTTGGACTACAATGCTGAAAATCTGCTGTGTTTAAGCCAGAAAGGGCCTCTTTCCTAATGTGCCACTATATTGCAACTGAAGGAATGATTCTGAGGAGATAAATAAATACTTTCTAAATTACATTAGCCAGATAGCAGCAATTAAATAAAAGTTCTAACAAAAGGCAGTAATTCAGAAAGAGAGATTTGCATTTGCAGTGGTTTCCTGCAGCTCTGTTGTTACTCAAGAGGAAAGAAAGTCACCAGACATACAAGGAGTCAGTCAGATTCACATTCATTTTGAAACCAAATTTCTCATAGAACACTTCATTTTTTGAAAGATGAGGGATTCTCTATGGGCATTTTTATCTCATCTATCCTTAGTTTTTAAATTTTGTGTTCATTTTAAGATATCTTATTTCTCCTTATCTAATACAATAGTCAACACTTGTTTGTTTCTGCAGAAGAGCCCCATACATTCCATTTTTCACAGTACCAGTTGTCACAGAAATTGGAACAAATTATTATCAGAATAGATACATGAATTGTTAATACGTGTTCATCTGCAGGGAAGGAGCTGTGAAACTTAAATGCATTTCCTCATTGACAAATGGTTTCCAAAAGGACTTATTTTGGTACCCTACCTCCCTGCTTAATTTTCTGACATTTTCTATTCAAGCACTGACTGCTAATGTAAAAGAAAAAAAGAAACAAAGATTATTTGATGTTAGTGGTTTTTGTTTCTCTAATCACTCAGATACATGCCAAGACTGAAAACAAGAATTATGCAGATGTTACCTCACAGGTTACTTCACCTGTCAGAGAATAAATCAAGAACATAAAGACAATGGCAAGAAAATACCTTTAGAGCTTTCTCCTTTATATATCAAATATTGTACCGATGTGCTGGGTGGCAAGAGGGGTACTGAAGACTCTCCCCTTTCCCCCCAAACATCAAATTAGCCATTCAGGAAGAAATCTACTTTAACAGCATTAATGTTGTGTAACAGCATCATGCTATGTGTAGGAGGGGGCTCAATGCTTACAATCTATACAGGAATGGAAAAGCATTTTATCATTCTGCTAGGCAATCAGATTGAAGAAGAGGTAGCAGTTTGCCCGTGTGAAGCTGAATTAACAATATTTTTCTTATTTTGACAGAATCCTGATATGGAAGTCGATGAAAATGGGACGTTGGATCTGAGCATGAACAAGCAGAGGCAGCGAGATGGTTGCTGCACCATTTTGACCCCACTGGAGCCAATGTCCCCACAACGACAAGCCGTGATGAACAACCGGTGTTACCAGCTGAATGAGGGTGACTGCTGGGACTTGCCAGTGGACTACACTAAAATGAAGCCAAGTAGGATAGATGAAGATGATTCCAAAGAAATTAATGTATGTCTTTTTCATCTGTATAGTTCTTGTTGCAGTCTAATTTTGGTAATTCATTAATTTTCTGGAATTTGGAGGGAAATAGGAAGCAAAATTAGGTGGTTTTCTACAAAAAGGACTTTTTTGCTGGTTAATCTTTAGGAGTATACCATGCTGGCACACATCTGATCTGTGACTAAGTTCCATAAGACAACATTTGAACCATGAATGTGAATCATGTTTTCTAACAGCATCATCTTGTTAACAAATATTTTCTGCAGTAAAGATGTTTTGCTATATCCAGATTATGTTACTCTGTATAAGCAAGTTGACATAACCGTGCAATACTGGGATAATCAGCTCTGAAGACAAGATATTCTGCTGAATTTGAAAACCATAAATGATGTGCTATTTGAAAGCATGTATTACTTAGAAATCAATTTAAACAAAGCAGCAGAGTATAATGTAAGCTTTCAACTATTTCAACTAATCTTCTAGATTACTTATATGCTCTTGATAGCTCTCTGTAAGGGCCTGCATTAATGAAATACTTTTTCTCAAAAATACAAAGAAGGCATATAAGAAATCAGTGTTACTTTTCTACTTATAATACCAAGACAGCCGCAATACTCTTTAAACAGAAGTGGCAAATAAAGAAAATATGTCAGTGAATTTTTATTGCTTTTCAAAACAGAATAGACAGGACACTGAAGAGGTCTGCTGACAAAGTTCACTGATGCTGCTTTTTTCTGTCAGGTTTTAACCATTATCCATTCTGCAGCTTAAAATCCTGCACTCAATTCAATTTAGATGTTTGAGGACTTCTAGTTGGTTTATAGCTAAAAATTAGGCTAATCATTTGTGTTTAGCACATCTCTTACTAATTTTAATTAAACCATAAAACAGTTCTCAGTATCTTTGAAATACACAACGAAGAGGCATTTTCACTAGATAGACTGAATGCATTCTAGCTTTGGTGGTACAGTTTTGCTATTAATTTCACTGGAGTTGGCAGGAAATCTATCACTATCAAGGAAATGTGAGGTAAAGCAGCAATTTTTTTCAGAGTAAGAACTCCCTACTTCTGCAGTGTTGTTTATAGCACCATCTGCAGGAATCCCTGAATCCCTGCATTCAGGCACTGCATTCCTGAAATGGATAGGTTTGAATTTCTGAACATCACTAAAGTTAATTTCAAATTATATCGTTCCGTCTTGCCAGACAGATCCACTGAGATTCGTCCCAGCCTTAGATTCTGTGTGTAGATGTTAAGATTGCTTCTCTTTCATCTTTAAGGTGAAGCAATCTTCTATATCCTTAAAAATGCTATTTAAGATGGCTTTCTGATGCATAAGATACTGCATTTTTTGCCTTTCCTCTGTTGTGCAGTGACTTTAGGGAAAAGACCTGAGTCTTTAGAGAAAAATAATATGACAGAAAAAGCCAGATTTTTTCCTTTTTATTTTTCTAATTAAATAAATCATATATTTCACATATTGTGAAGTCTTCATCAAAATACTCAAATATTATACAAAAGTTTAGTATGTGAAAGTATATAAAATAATTTCATTAATTTTCTCTGTCAGAATAGGATAAGAAGGAGATACCATCTGATGACTCTGCATTATTTTTGTAAATGTGACCTTCTCTAGCTGAAATTAATATGTATATATTTGCCTGTAGCCCGAAGATTTGGATCCTTTCCAAGAGGCACTTGAAGAAAGAAGGTATCCTGGTGAAGTTACAATCCCAAGTCCTAAACCCAAATACCCTCAATGCAAAGAGAGCAAAAAGGATTTAATAACGTAAGCATAATGTGAGGTGAAATTATTTATCTCCTTTTAACTTTTTCTCTCTTTGTCTTTTTTTAAACCAACGAATACATATACGCCTTGCAGTATGAGCATGCAACATTTGCAGCATATAAATGTTTCAAACTGCCAGTTAAGTAAAGTGATAAGCTAACGTGTATTTGCTTGTTCTTAATGATGCTATATTGTATGGAGACGCCATTTTCATTTAAACCTGTTCATTTTGCAGCTTTTCGATTAGGATGCTTAAAACCCCTTGCAGTCATTGCAGCTAAACTGGAAACAATGAAACTTTTAAAAGTTTTTTTTTAAACATACTTACTATTTTGGCTGTTTTTGTTTTTGTTTGGTGGCAGATGTCCAACACCAGGGTGTGATGGGAGTGGTCATGTGACTGGTAATTACGCCTCACATAGAAGGTGTGACTTCATTTTTTTCATGGTGGATTCTGTCTTTTCAATTTATTGTTTTCAGCTTACCTCAACAATGCTGTCAAAGTAAAACGTTGAACTATGTGTTAACCCTTTGAGTAATATATGTGATCTTAAAAGCATGCTAATTTGTGTGTTGTATAAACGTCTTTTATTTTTAAATAGATTACTAAAATTTCCAAACTATTCTTTAAGCATTTAAGTAGTTAACCCAGGAATCTCCAATATTTTTGTTATCTTTTTCTAGTTCATAGAGAAACAAACAAACAAACAAGAACATTTACAGTATGTAATTTTGGAAGTAATATTGATAACTAAATATATTCAGAGGGTTAACTATATTACGGAATTCAATATTACAGCACTTGCCCCATCGCTTTTCTGCATTACAAACTTTTACTTTTTAATTTTTATGTTGTGTTTGTTTGCGAGTGTTCAGTTAATGAGAAGATTAACATACTTGTATGTCCTGCCATGTCTTACAGTTTATCTGGCTGTCCCTTGGCTGACAAAAGCATTCGGAGTATGCTGGCCACAAGCTCACAGGAACTCAAGTAAGACATAAAGAACAAATATTTTCTTTATAAATATTTATTTGACCGCAAATTGTATAAAGTTTTATCAGAAATTAGAAATGCTGTCTGGGGAGCTGCTGCAGAAGGAGTTGATCCTGCTTGAAACATGTATTGAAGTCTCTAGAAATTCCATACAGCAGGGGGGTTCTGTACATAAGTCTGTTGACCTAGTATGTCCTTTTGTGTGTCCATTAGGTGACAGGGATGGACAAAAGACAGAACTTCTGGAATTTCATCTTAATGTTTGAATTCCTTTTCAATTTTTTTCTGAACTTTGAATTTGCTAGCTAGAACAGAAAATTCCCATACAATTAGACTGATGAAACACTTTTGATTACACAAGCAGTAAAGCATTGCAGTTTCTCAAACACAGTTGGAAGGAGAACAATGTGGTTTTCCCAAACGCTTGCATAATTTCTCCAGGTTCGTGTCATTGTTACCAGCCGAATGCATTTTCTCATGTGACTGTGTTTTTTAATGTTTACTTAGTTGTCCCCTGCTTAAAATGGGTTCTTCACCATTCCTTTCAGTTCTTTGGAGTAGCAATTTTGAGCTATGAACGTTAGAGAATCATGACACTTAGCTTTGCTCTGTCTTCCTGCACATATGCTCTACTGCAACTCTCTGTGTGGAAGAACTATAGTATTTATTAGTGCTATGACAGGGCAGTGCTTCTGAGCTGGTAATTCGGTTAAGATGGAAAAATTTCCACAAGAAATGAGGAAAATTCAGTAGGGAAAGTATGAACGGATATCACATGCTGCCATACTGCTTGGCAGTATTCTGTTTTTACAATATGTTTCTTGAATTCAGTATATACGCTGATTAAAAAAAACCCAAACAACTCTTGATGTAAACCATGGGAAAAATAAGAAAGCAAGCATGAGAAAACTGCTGGAGTAAAACTGCTCTCTAGTTTTACTTAATTTAGTTGCTAGAGGTAAACAATACATGCAAAATTTACAGCTGATTACCCACAAAGTGAAAAATAATGTTTTGAAACTATTAGTTTAGATCATGCTGATATATGCTGCTAGAAGAATATGTGATATGCAAAAGGGGATGTAAATGAGATTAGGGAAGACATTTAAGTATAAGCAGAAAAAGACATGCACATCTCAGACAAACTCAGATTTGGACCTGGATTTTGGGTTGGGATGGGTCAAATGGTAGAAGTTTGAGGAAATGTGAATGCATAAGCAAAACACAGTCAGGACTCTTGAGGCAGCATGAATATTTTAAGCAAACACTTTATAAGGCTTCTACTCATCTTAGGAAGCTGTTTCTGAATTACTTCATCTCCTCTGCTTTTCTCAAACATCTGCAGTCAAGGCTGCCTGGTAGAAGCCAGGAAGAAAAAAATCCCAAAACACCTAAACTTGAGATCCCACTTCTATATCATTCCACTCTCTCTACTTATTTCAAGATTTTCCTAAGCAAAAAGCAAGATTAAATTAATTTTTTTATGTTTAAAATTTATTTCTTATTATTCATTAGCATAAATTATTAATTTACAGTTATCATTATACCAGTTGAACACATAAAACTCTGTTAAGTTTCAAAATGACAGAATTTTAAGCAGGCTTACTTAACTCAGTTCTCCTTTGTATTTGCACTATATGGCAAATCTTTGTTTTCTGATGATAGATTTTTCCACAGGATAACAAAGTAAAACCTTGCACAGGGCAGACAGTAATCATTGCATAAGCAACTAGTTAGTTTCTTCTCTTTTCCTTTATTATCCCATGTGAGGCCCTGTCTGTTATTCACTACTTCTGAAGATGGACCTATTAATTCACTCACACATTTGTCACTATCATCACACCTGAGTGTTTCCTAATAAATTTAGTTATTTAGTTATAAAATATTTTTTTTTCATCTGCAGTTATACTCTGAAGTAAATAGGGTTGGTATTATCCTCATTTTAAACCAGAAATTTAGGTATATAATTTTGATTGCTCACTTGGATACTTTTAGGACACAATTGGTCAGTTCTTCACATTGTAGAGAACTGTATATGTTCAAACCCTTGAATTTGCTTGGAGTTATGGGAATTTAGCAGATCTATTTAATGTAATTGACCCTTGGTGAAAAGGGATGAACTCTGCAGAAAAAGCAGCAGGGTCCAGTTCCAGAGCAGCCATACTGTCCTTTCTCCTATCCCAAAACTTTAACCAGTCCCAGCTTCCACTTGGCCCATTTACTCTGTCCTGTTTTCCTTCATCATTTTTTCTACATTGTTCCCTGTCTCAAGCTCCCTTGTCCAATCAGCCCATCTCCTGCCTTCATCACATTTATATTTTTATTGTTCTCTGTCTCTATATCCTGTGAAGTTGGTACAGAGACAGAAATAAAGCATCTTAGCATTTCCCACATATATTTGAAAGCAAGGAAGTAGGAGTCCTATGGATGGCAGCATCCTTTACACAGCTCTCATTTATGCTCTTGTTCTCTGCTTAAGATGGAAGAAGATGTGATCATGTAAATGTAACGTGCATGCATAAAGCAGCTAAACCAAAGTTACATAAGAGAATTTGATTTTGAAATTTTTGCACTGTGAAGTACTTCATTTACATTGTGTGTGAGGTCTGGGAGTATAATATCCTTGTTTCTAAAATGAGGAAGCAGAAGCTGAAAAGAAGCAGAAATTCCATAATATGGGATACTACTGGCCATCTGCCAGGCCACCAGCCACCATGGGACATTTTGGTGTCTGCTCTATTGCCTGGGCTGCTGTCGTAGCAACAGCAGTAGAAGCTTTAGTGATCTGCATGGACTGGCAGCAGGAGGAGATGGGGAACATTGCTGGGATGTTTCACACATATTTGCTGACAGCAGAAGAGTAGTGAGAATCAGTAACCTTGGCTCCTGCCCCAGGCTGTAGAGGGAAATGTATACACATTTTTAACCTATAACCCAAGCTGAGTTCCCTTCTGTCCTTTCCTTAGCAATCTGTACTGTTCTCATCTCTTCTTCATCTTTTATTCCTTGTTCAGGTTTTCAATGTAGTTTTTTTCCATTCTTCTGTAAAGATTTCAACCTTTGTAAAATTCTTGGCAAATACTTGTTTAATGTACAGGGTACAGAGAACAATTGATAGTGTAGTAGAAAAACTGATAGCACAGCTTAGGAATCATGTTTCTGGACTGCATAATTTAGAAGGATTTAATACTTTTATGGCTTTTACCATCAAATCAAATATCATACATATGCTGGTAAAGCCTTCATATCACATTTTACTGATACATTATCTCTTTGTGTGTATTTCACAACACATACAAATAATGTATAATGTAGCTTCCTAACTGGAATTTTGCTTACACAATTTTTTTTTTGTACCCCAACTAAAATACAAAATAGCAGACACTTCAAATAGTATTCATTAATAATATCATTCATATAATATTCACAATCAAAATAATATAAGAATCCTACAAGGTTAGAGAAATATTTTGCTTAACAGTCATGCTTATTGTATTGCCTTTTGGAAATTGTGGCTCCAAGATTCCATTGCTCACATTTCCTGGCTCTCAGAATAATAATGTTGCAACTTTCAATTAAATTGTTCCAGGGTCAGTCAGCATAATTATTCCCTACCACCCATGCTTCTCATGTGTAAGGGTTCTTGCTCAGGTTTACAATGCAGATTACACAATTTTTCATTTTCATCCAAAGCTCAAATAGAAAATTGAGAGCCTTTGTGCATAGTTTGTCAGCAGACTACAGCAGTTACAGCCTGGTCAGTGATCTCCAAATAACAGAACAATATCTTCTGCTTTAATTGTCTTACTTATGCTGGGAAAAAAAAAAAAAAAAAAAAAAAAAAAAAAGCTGTCTGGAGAAATCAATATCTGGCAGGGAACCAAACTTTTCCAGTAGTAAGATTTTGGTTTCAGTACTTGTGAAAAGCAACTAATTTTTAAGGGACCTAGGAACGCTATATTGATGAGTAAAGTTAACTATGATAGGAAAGCAGTTAACAGCCCACCCAGTGACAGCTACCAATATTAAAGTATTCATAAATTAAATTCAGTGTGATCTTACCAAGGGGCCTTTTCTTACCAGTTTTCTTTATTTATTCCTTTTCATAGCAGGTTTTTCTAATAGTTACGATTACTTCTAAACTGTAATACCATTGTGGAATTTTAAACGCTGTTAAAAACAACATTTTGAAGCACTTTAAATCTTATTCAAAACAAGTAAAAGCAAAAAACCTAAACAATCCAAAGCTAGAATTAATTTTTGTTTTAAAAGGACACATCTTGTTAATCAGTAAATCAATCCCAGCTAAAACACAGCTGACTGACTGTAAAAATGTCTACTCAGTGTCCTGTCAATGTGGGAACCTGAGAACCCAGGTACCAGAGACTCCCAGAAAGTGACAGACTTATTTCTACGTAGTGGTACTTTGATGTAAAGATAATCACAGTTTTTCAAGGCCATTGATACATATACACACACACATTTATGTATATACCTTATGTACATAGGTAACTAAGTGTTAGCTTGGTCTGCTGTGGAACTAAATATCCGATCCTCAACATCTACCCTTGTCGTCTTGGGTCAGTTTTCTGCCAGAAAATCCCATTATTGCTTATTCTGAAGAATCTGATCCTCAGGAAGAATTGCAGCTCAACCAGGTGCCTTAAAGTTTGGATACTTCTTGATACTGTTGTAGTATGCCCAGTCTTTCAGTCCCAAAGCATCTGTGTGGATTTCCTTGTTTTCTTTGGTGGATGTCTTTTGGTATTTCCTATGGAGGGAGGAGTGCAGCCTCCTTTCCCTCACTACAATGAAGTCTGAGAGCTTTTGTTTCCTACATCTCTTCTTAACTCAAAGTGATGAGCTCAGTCTATTTTTGCATGTTCTCCACAATAAAGTAAGAGTCGGAATCTCTGTTCCATCTTTTTTCCATGTCATTCTGCCACAGTGATTTCCATATTCTTGGTGATCTTCTACTCTTTCTCTTAACTTTCTTT